TTTAATAAAATTTTATTTATAAATTATAATAAATATTAAATAAAAATTATAAATATAAATAATTTACCAACTAAAAGTTCATTAATTATTATTAAAAATTTTATATAGTAGTAAATTAAGTTTAAATAAAAATGTAAAAAATAAATAACTTACTCCCTATAATATTATTAATTATTAAATATTTTTTGAATAATAGTTTAATTAATTTAAATTATATAAATTAAATATAATAAAATTAAATGGTTTACAATCTAAGTATTATCATCATTAAATCTTTTTTAAAAAAATATTAATTATTAAATAATTATATAAATAAATAAATAAATAATAAAATTATTACCATTTAATTCTTCTAATGTATGATTATCTGAAACTGACTATATTATAATATTAATTTTGAGAAAATTTTGGAATTAATTAATATGGTTTATAGTAAAATCTAATATTTAGACAATTTATAAATATTTTTACCATTTAGTTGAATAATTATTGAGTATAGTTAATTAAATGATTATTATATTTGTTGATTAATTATATTTTCTATTGTATTTACCTTTATCACTTGAAACTAATACTATAATGTGGAGCTGATTCCGCTCTTTCGGACGAATGCGGATGCGGCAATTCAGATGGACCCTTCAGCTAGTCACGGCGATAACTTAATAAATGATATATCACAACTAAAGCAGTACAGTATAATAACTAGCGGTGAACCAACCTAATCTTGTTGGTAATTAATAAAAATAACCAATTGTAATAATTCGAACCGGAAAATTTTTTTGTTCTAATTAGATAAAAAATAATTTTTTTGGTTGTTTTCAAATTTTCTTTAAAAATAACTATCATCGCTTAAAAATTACGAGGCACAGCGATTTTATCACATTATCTTAAAAAGTTTTTGAAATTTTATTTTTAAAATAAAATGTCTTTAAATTATTGATATTTTGTGTAATGAATTAAGTGTTTGAAGTCCCTGAATAATTGCATTACTAGTTGTCTGATAAGTACGAAAAATTATGAGCGTTTTGGTAGGGTGTATGTTGTATAATGATAAAGGAACGTAATAGTACTGATATACATGTACATATGTGACGCTCCTCGTAAAAAATAATTGCTAGATATTCGGTCATATTTTACTTCATATAAAGTTTATACTGCGTCATCAATTTGTGTAAGCACAGAATCTTATTTTTAGCTACTTGATATAATCTTTTTTGGCGATATTTTCAGTTGCACTTCGCATAAGAATTTTTTTTTTCGTCATTAATTTATTATATATTTACTGCTCCAGTACTTGTTTATAGAAAATCATAATGTTTTACCAAATCCGCTAAGAAAATTACTTCGCCTCTCAGTTTTTACTGTGGCATCGATGGAGGTATTTTTGGAAACTAAATTCAAACCGGTTTGGTTTTTGGTTAGATAAAATCTCTTTTAAATAATTTTTTTTTGATTTTTTATTACTGACGCGCCAATTATTGGATGTTAAATGGATGCGAATATCATTATAAGTATGAAATTAGAAATCATTAATGCAAGTATAGCATCATGCGTTTTTACTTCAACAAGAAGATGCCATTAAATATTTAACATCGGTAAATATTTATGAAAGATTATTTGAAATAAATTTGATGAATAGTCGCAATATGTTAATGACGAAAAAATTATTTTTATTTATCAATTATTTCCGATTATCTATAAGTTTTTTATTTGTGACGTATAAATTTGAACCAATATTAATAGTAATTAGTACATCACAAAATCCTTTTACAATACTATTTTCTCTTAATATGTATAAGAGAATATTTTTTCTGCGTGAAATCCAAGATCATAAAAAATAAAATAAAATAAAACATAATATATTGGATTCGGCTAAGACAGCAATAAAATAATTCCGTCATATACCTTCCTAAATCCATGATTTACTATTTAATAAGCTCCTACTAAAATAATAAAATGATGACAAGTTTATTTCGTCTTTAACCAACATTTGATTTATTGCTTATACTATACCTTAAACTTTCTTTTAAAATTATTTAATTTATTCTGTTTAGGATAGTATAGCCGCTCATATGGGTCATTTTATTCAAATTTGGTTTTAATAGCCCATATTATTAGCATTAAATTTTTGAAAGTTAAACCAGAGAATTTAAAGCATTAAATTCAATGAAAGTGTACATGTAACTAGGATTGAAGTATATTAATCTTTAAAGAGCGTTAAAGGATCGGCTTGTAAACTTTTTATATGTTAATAACGAAATTAAAAATTAGAGATTTTTTTCAAATTCAACTTTACGAATTGCAACTTTTAAAATTAAAAGATTTATAAATATATAAAATATTTCATCAAACATAGGTAATCAAAATGTTACTAAAATAAGTTATTGCTCAGTTACAAATGAAAAATTTTACTCATTATCTCGGTTTGACCGTGCAATACCCGCGATATATATTACTATGTGAAATACGAGACAATATCTTGATATTTTTTTGGGGCTTTTACGTCTCACAATTTCGCATGTTGAGAAAATGGTCAAATATAATTTATATATATGTGTATCAAACCATTATCGCAAAAATCAAAACCACAATTGTACTTTCCCTTCCTTACTCGGTGAAAAATTTTAATTATTAATTGTCACAAAGTAAAATGGCAACATCTCTCGCCGAAATAAAATTATTTCTTTTTTTTCGATGACCGCATTACATTGAATATAATTCCGCCCGTAAAATGATAATTTTAGCTCAAAGATGAATTAGGTTTGTCTTAATAGATCAATTTCAACCAGGATCATAATTAAAAAACCTTCTGCTAGGTTTTTTTACAATTTGTTGATAAATATAAACGTAAAGAACTGCATACGATAATAGCCACATCCTCAATAAATTCGTTAACTGGAAAAGAGCTCTTACGAAATTTATTTATTTTTTTATTTTGTCATTTTCATGACGTGATGTATTAAAATCTCTCCTTTGTATTAGTTGCATCATTTCGTTCTTTATAGGAACTGTAGTGAACTTCAAAAGGCAAGTTGCAGACTAATAGAGTGAATAAAAAGCTTAATTTCAGTAACAGTTAACTATGTGGATCAATGGGTTTACCATTTAAAATTATATCTGACAAGAATATAGTGAATAAAAAGCTTAATTTAAGTAACAGTAACTATGTGGATCAATGGGTTTACCATTTAAAATTATATCTGACAAGAATATTTATGGTAGTTTCTATGTAATGCTATATAAAAAACACATTGAAATAAACTAGTAAAACAAGTTAATAAAAAAATGATTCTAAAAAAAGAAGAGTGTAAGTAAGAACAATGAGATTTGAGGAATGTGCGTTCAAAATTTATGCGAAAAATAAAAAAATTTGGATAACATTGGGTATAAATTTTGGTTGTTTGACAAATGGACAATTTTGGACACATTTTCGTGTGTTATCCAAAATATTAAACAGCTTTTTCATAATTTGCAGACACTCGAACAATTTATAAAGAAATCGTTTCTTTAGAATTCGTTTATTTCTTTTCTATTTGTCTTAAACGCGTTAACATTAAAGTTGTTAAAAGAGAAAAATTGAATGGAAATAAACATTAAAGAACGTGAATTTTGTCAAAACATCTTACAATAGGCGTTACACTAATCTGTTAACATGAAAAGTAAAACAGAGTAATAGTAGTATGTAATGATATCTCAAAAAAATTTTTTAATATTTATTGTATTAGAAATTTTCATTATTGATGTTACTTCCATTAGAAATGTTTATTTTTCTTCAGTTAATGTAAAACAAACTTATGTGCTCGTCGGAGATAGAGTAATTCTCAAAGATTTATTTTCTAAAATATCTTATAGAACTTTGACTTTTGAACAAGCAAACTTTATTTTGCTGAGAAGGTTATTAAAGTCAAAATTTTCACATTACTCTGTTCTTAGTGGTGCAGTAAATGACCTTAATAAAATAGGGAGGCCTGAGGCGTAATTAAACCAACTGCTGCTTCAGCAAGAAAAAAAATAAATTTCATAAAATCCAAAATAAAAGCAAAAAAAAAGTACCTTAAGAAAAAATATATATATTTTTTGTTCGTTGCGATACCAACTAAAAAAATAAAGCATACTGCGTACTTCCGAAACGATCCAAGCCTAAAAAGAATAACGTTAATAATGAATAATTGCAAAGAAAAAATGAAATAAAATTTGCATTATCACTGCGGCACAAAATCAAAAATAAAACCCAACCCAAAAAGTAGTAAAAAAAAAAAAATTAAATTCTGATATAAAATACATTATGCCGCTTATAGGTTTTCAAAAATTGAAATAAAATTTTTATGGTAAAATTTTTAGAATAATACATAAAGTACATGTAAAATATAAATAGCGTAAAAGCATTTGTTCGGTCTTATTTTAATTTGTGAAAATATAACATTTGGTGAATAATAATTTTCTTATAAATATATATATATATTTTTTGGTGAATATATTTTGTTTTTTTTTGCTTTCATATTGTGACTTTGCACCATTATAAAGTCGATTAGAATCGATTAATCATAATCGAACATCGAATCTTTGAATCGAAAATCTAGAAACGATTAATCGATTTTATACGCAAAAAAAGATGGTAGCCTAATTTGCCATATGAATCGATTCCAATCCAAACCTCCAAAAGAAATACATATATTATCTCTATTATATTCTTAATATATATAATTAAATTTAACTAACTTTTCTTTAGCAAACAGAAAATCACATGCGTGCCTTATTTTGAAAAAATTTCAGATAAAACTTTGATACATTATATATCTATTATTATTAAAGATAAAATATACACTCGCTAAACTAATCCAATAGAAAATTATTCCCTAATTATTTCCGATATAAAACTAGATAAAACAACATATCAATTAAAATTTGAATCTTTTCAATATACTCTTTGGTATTTTTGTCTTATTATATGCATCATCAATATCTATAAATTTTCTTTTGTTGTAAATGATATCTGCTCGTTCTGGACCAACTCCTTCCACTAGCTCGATATCCCTTTTATCTGCGTTATTTATATCCAAAGAGCCTACATGAGCATACGTTAACGCTCTGCCAGCATAGGGCCCAAAATATTCAACCCAATTGGATTTATCTACATATCCGGTGTTTTTTGGAAGACTGAAGTAATTTATTTTCGTTGTAGTATAGAATAAGAAAAAAATCCATTGGTGATGATGATTTTTCCCGTTCTTTTTGGAAATCAGTCTCGTTAAGAATTTTTTTCAACTTTTTATATTGATGCACTTCGTTTGGGTTTGGGATGTTCGAATTCAAATCTAATCCAAGGAATGCGTCACAATACGGTGCTGAGACTCCGTTGATTATACAACGTTTACCTTTACGAACATCAAAAATACCATTATCACATTTAATTTCTTTTTTATTTCCAGTATAATTTGCCGAATTTGTGTCCTCTGGTGATTTGCAATTTCCAATTCAAGATGATGATTTATAAATTGAAATTCATCACTATTCAATCTTGCTCGAGTGTGAATTTTTGCAATTGTTGTTACCTCATTGTCATTCACCATTCTAGATTTTAATGTCCGGAAAGATGCAACAAAATGCTCAAAGTGTTGCCAAAATTGAGCACCTGGTGGTCTTTTTGGATTTAAATTTGACTTATGGTCACCATAATCACAAAAACACCAATCTCGATGCACAGGATCTTCACCATCGGAAGATTGCGTTAGTATCCAAATCCAGATGTAAGGAGCAATCAGGTATCCAGATTGAGTTTCACCTATTCGTTTGTAGCTAATCAACCCTGGTCAAGCAACTTCTCCAGGGTACTTACTCGTACAGTACCAGGGATAAATTTATCAGATTCCATGAGTACTCGAGTTAACATCGCCCGACCTATAGCTCTACAGTCACTTGGAGAAAATTGAAACGCCTCACTGTACCTGTCACGAAGTCTTTACGTAAATCGTTCATTATATCATTTACATTAACTTTTTTAATATCGCATTTTTCCAGGATCACTTGTAAAGCTTCGAGAGCCCTTCCGAGCCCTCCACAATCATCCACTAAAATTTTGGTTATATGATCTGTCATTTCAAAGACTGGAGTCACATTATTATTATTACAAATTGTCGGAGGGATCAATGAGGCAATCGGTAGTTCTACGCACTTGCGGTGCGTAATTTTTAGGACCTCGATAGAATTAGTTGCCATTGTAGTACACAGTGTAATCACGAAAGCACCACTCAAATCAAGATCGTGTATATTAGTCAGAGTCCGGAAAAAATCTGATGATTGATCATTCCCATCATTAATCGAATGTAATCCATCGACAATTAAAAAAATCGTAGCGTCTTTCATTTCAATCTCTTCATATTTGGCTAATAACTCGAACATTTGCCATGGTAATGGTGCTTCATATTCTGCAATTATTAATTCATGATGTTTTTCCAGAAGTTGTTGTTTAAGAATTCTAGTTCTAATTGCACTATATGCTTCTTTTTCCACACCATAACTTAAGCTATTACCGTTTTCGAAGCTGATATTGAATACCCATGCGTTTCTAATTCTTCCTTTTAGTTTCAGGTCTTTGGAATCTGATAAACATGCGAGCGTCATATTATAAAATTCTTCTGCGTTTCGTGACTTTCCGGTACCAGCACCAGAAAGAAAGAGATAAATTGGTATAAAAGATTTATCAACGACTCCCCCAAGGTAATATTCGTAATGCATTCTAAGTTTATTCCTCAACTTTTCATGTAAGCCTTGTCCTGGCTGATATACCCATTTCTTACCGACACCATAAAGCAGAGGATTTTGATTTTTTGTATTGCAAACCTGTGAGAATAATGAAACACTGGTTAGGTCCATGAATTTCAGTACTTCGAATTGTTGAATATATACCTTTAGGAAAAGCGTCTATAATTGCTTTTTTGCGGATTTTCTGAATACTAAACAAGAGATTTAAAAGTTACGAGTCAAGTTCGAGTTGACCAATCATTACGACGTAAATGCTTACCTTGATGTTCATCTAAATTGGGTTAGGAGACCAAAAAGCAGCTAGTTACTTGACAAGACATGTTACGCGTTTATGATCAATCGATATGGTGCAAAAGCTTACCGGTGTTAACTGATAATCCAACTATAATTCGAATATTGCTTCCTGCGTCATCAGTAAAAACATCTCCAACCTTTTCTGCTTCATTTTCTATTCTATCGTCCAAACTTTCATCAAGAGAAATATTTCTATTATTTTCGAGATTAATTCTCCAAAGCACAAGACATATAGCTTTTACGTTAGGAATATTTTCTGCAATAATTTTTTTAAGATCGTAAATATCATTGTCTACTCCTGCGGTAACTTTGAAAATAGATTTATTGTTTCTAGTAATGCACTTTTTTCGTGTACCGATAATTTCAACAGTAGACATTTTGAAAGAAGTTAGATAAAAATAAGAAAAATAAGAAAGACAAAAGAATAGAATAAAAATTATTTTATTTATCCAGAAAATAAATAAAATCTCCGGGTCACTGGATTCAGGACCACGTGTATGGCGCAGCCCGATCCCTATTGATTCGTTTCAATAAAAATTCCAATTAAAAAAAAAATCCAATTTAAAATTATCTTTCTATATCTCTCTCTCTCTCACAATTAAAATTTCAATTAATTTAATTTAAAAACAATTATTAAAAAGAATTTAAATAAAAATTCAAATGAAAATAATTTGCCAATTAAAAATTATTGCGATTAAAATATATAATAGAAAAATATCATGTGGTTACATGAAAACTAACTGCGATGAATTATTTGTCCAAGAATGTGTTACTCCATTTTTCTTACAAACGCAAATATACTAAGCTTTTTACAAGTAAACATTTTTTTTTTTTTTAGCTAAATCATAAAAATTATTAAGCGATTAGAGCGTTCTCAAGTACTTCAATTAATAGACCAATATATAATCTTATTGGCTGAAAAACTATCATAGAGTTTCTTATTTCGATGAATATTCAGAAAGTTACAAAATACCTTTTTTTTTAAATGATTTACAATTGATAGAGTATGCTCAACCGATAAATATTACAAATATTAAAATAAATATTGTTGTTGTATAGCAGCTTTATTAAGTGTCAATAGTTGGTTATGCTATTGCAACAAAAGTTGCAAGTTCGTAAAACCATTAAAGGGAATGGTATTGAAAGTTGAAATTGGAAGATTTTCATTTTTGGAGGATTTCTTATTAGGCATGGCGAAGATTATTAGGAAAAAAATTTTTTAATGTCAAGTTTATAATTCTATTGATTTTTTCATTGATTGTGATACTTGAGCACAATGCATAACCAGCTCATTGAGGGAGATGCTTGAGAACGCTCCAAGTTGTTTAATATTATACGTAATTAATTTATGAAAGTTATATATTGTTGACCCAAAATAAATATTTATCGCAGTAATCGATCACGTTATTCACTGTGATTTGTACCACTGTAATATTCGGGGAGAATATCTTCCGTTGATCTAATTTCGTCATTTTCGTCATGACATAATCAATTTTACAAATTTATCCGAATTTTTTTTTTTTAAAAAAAAAAAATGGATGCAAATAACCATGAAAATGAAACTCAAATCGATAAATTCAATGTCTCAGAAAAGAATTATTCTTATTACAATCAACCATTTTCTGAATGGGTGCCCTTTGATAGATTCACAGATATAAAAGAAATTGGATAAGGAGGATTTGCCAAAGTGTATTCCGCAACATGGATCGATGACAATTCGGAATTTAAAAAGCAAGATGATGGAAGTTGGAAAAGATCGGATCCTATTCCGAAGAAAGTTGCTTTGAAAAGGTTAAATGGATCACGAGACATGTCAGCCAAATATTTTAGTGAGGTATTTTTTTTATTTACTTTTTTTATATTATTAAATAATAATATTTCTAATTTGCTTAAATTTTCATTAAAAATAACTAGCTTAAAGCACATTGGGATTTTTATAAAAGATATCCTTCCGCATTAAAATTTTATGGGATAACTAAGGATCCAGAAACCAAAGATGTTATTATGATCATAACATTTGCAACTTATGGAAGTTTGAGAAGTTATCTTTCAGATAATTTTAACAGAATATTTTGGGAAGGTAAAATTTGGAAATTATATGATGTAGTTGATGATCTTTATAATTTACATAGTTTAAGATATTGTCATGAGGATTTTCATAGTGGAAATATCTTACAAGTTGCACTATTTTCTTATATTTCTGATTTTGGATTATCAGGACCAGCAAATAAGCAAAAATCTGATGACAAAATATATGGAGTATTACCGTATTTCGCACCTGAAGTCTTGAATGGAGAATTATATACTTTAGCTTCTGATATTTATAGTTTTGGTGTAATCATGGCTGAATTGTCATCTGGGAACCCTCCATTTTATAATAGGAAGCATGATTATAAATTATCCTTAGATGTTTGTAATGGACTTCGCCCAGAATTTGGAAAAGGAACTCCAGAATTTTATAAGAAATTGACTTATAGATGTATGGATGCAAATCCAAATCAAAGACCAAAAGCCGATGGATTAAAAGAAATATTGAATTTTTGGATAAATCTAACAAATATGGATATTATGGAAATGAAATAAAGGAAGCATTTGAAGAGGCAGATAAAGATATACCAAATATTTCAATTTCACTCGAAACGAATCCTAATGTTATATATACAAGTAGAACATTTACATTTAAAAATTTGACAAAACCTATTAATTCGTCTCTTATCACCTCATATCTTGAAAAGGATGGGAATAACGAAGGTAATATATACTTAACTTTTTTTTATTTCGATAACGAAATATTAATTTCAATGCATTTTAACAGAATTTCAAGATTCTCAATTAATTGAATTAGGAATTCCTAGCTCATTACAATTAAGAGGTAATATGACATATCAATATTTATAATTGCAATTTTAAATATGAACTAATATAGATTTATCTATAATTGTAGACGTCAATTAAGTGCCTACAAAGTTATATAGCGAGATGAGGTTTAACATTTGCAGTAATTAATTTTAAGTCTTAGGAATTCTCATATTTGAACTACACCTAAAAGGTTATAGGGAGAATTTTATATATAATCAAATAGTATTTACTTTTTTATTATTAATAAATTATATATCCTAGCATCAAGTAAGCTAACTATTTAACCCATCAACTTGTTCAATACGATGAGAGCTTTCATAGAATTATTTTACTAAAATTTTACTAAACCTGGATTTTTACAGTTGCAAATATTAAAATTTATGGTCAGTCTATATGTATTTAAAAGGGGGATATTGATAGAAAATGACAATCTTCCGAAAGTGGATATTTGAAAATTTAAAGATTGCAAAAATAAATATCTTTAACATTAAAAATACGTTAACAAAAATAATAAATAATTTTCTTTAACTAAATAATAGCATCACAATTTACCATTTATTAATTTTAATACTATATAACTGATGATATCCTGACAAGTTGAAATTGGCCATAAAGAACGGATTACAGAATTTCAATATGAAAATAAAGAATAGAAACTTGCTCAATGAATACAAATACAAAACTGAAAAACCAGTATATCAAATATGCAAAGTAGGTGTTGTTCAAGAAGATTTGTGAATCATATCTATGCTAATTTGTGATGATATCTTTTTGGAACGTGGTTAGATCAGCTGGACCATTCAAGTCAAGCTGATCAAATCCATATCGACAAATCCATCTCCTCTCACACTTGGTTTATCGAGAAATTAAGTAGAATAACCGCACTTTGTTAAATCTTTCTTCTTGAATAAATAAGGAAAATCAGCTGTTTCATTGGTTGACTCATACTTTGGTTGGTTTTTATCTTATTTCATTTCGTTTTTTTATTTTTGTATATTTTCATAATTCTTGATTACTAATCAGTTCGTGTACTTTCATTTTTCTCTAGTATACTTTTCATCTTCGTCTCCGGTTCAGTTATTTCATTTCTTTTTGGCACTTGGTATAATTTCTCATTCTCGTCTTTGATGTCTCCGGTTCTATTAACATCTTTATTATTGGTTCATCTTTAATTTGCGATTTTCAGATGATTTTTCATTTTTTGGTACCTTTATTGATTTTATTTTAGGAATTTTTTATTTTTTATTTGATTATATTCAGGAGCTTTTTTCTGAGTGATTTTCTTTTTGGATCACATGATGGACTCTGTGAACAATATTTGCCGCATGGTGCGGTGAATAAATTAATTCTAACATTTGTTCACTTTTATTTATATATTAAATTTTTTAGGTTAGATCTTATTTGCTTTACATATCATAGGACCCTATTTGGAATCATTTGTCTTCATACTTGGTCAGGTTTAATGGTCAATTAACAAAAGTTGATACTTCTACTAATAAAGCGGACCTTATGGAATAGAAGTCGAGTAAAGCTGTTCATTAGGTAGTTTAAGAATTTAAAAGTCCCATTGACGAAGAGGTTGATACAAGCCTTCTTTCTTTAATAGTTATAAAAGTATTTGGAAAAGAATGCAACTCCCTTGTAATAAGGCGTGTGTTCAAAATATGTTAGACCTCAACATCCTAAAATAGAAATGGACGAAGATTATATCCTTCCCAAGTTAAATCAATATTTGGTAAGAAATTTTATTAATGATAATTATAAAACACTTATATAATAAAGGTTTATAATTTATATAGGATACAGAATCAATTGGCGAAGTACTAGCAGTTCAACATCAGAAGTATATTAATAAAATGTTTAGTTAGATAGCGAATAATGTAATTAATGTATATTTAAAAATAATGTATATTTGTTATTTACATTTTAATAAGGCACATGTTCGTTAAATATTTATTTAAAATACACAGTTATTTGTATATATGTTTTACTTGGGTTTTAAATAAATAATCTATAATAAATTTATTCGCGCAGAACTTATGTTGGGTCTGTGGAATTATGTAAAATTGTACAAATGGATTTTACAGAAATTTTTATATAGAACCGTATAAAAAAATAATTGTCGATGTATATGTCTCTCTAAGAGACTTTTAGAAGTCCAGTTATATGCATAGGCAGCAATTAGATTACAATATAAGAATTCTCATGAAGTCACGTTTAAAAATGATCTGAACAAGACAAAAACAAATATTTGATAAAATTAGAGGTAGAAATAAATACTGCCGATGAAACTCTTGGATTAAAAACTGAGATTAAGCTGAAAGTTGATTTTGATGACTCGCGGACTTTAGTAAAAATAGTAGATCAAGAAATTTATTTTATCAGCGGTCATTTGGTGATGATATGCAAAGATCGGTGTTAATTTTTTACTCAATGCGGACCGCAGCTTTGCTTATTATAAAGTATCTAAAGAGGAGGAATTAGAATAATAATAATAACTGGAGTAGATATAGGAGTA